GTGCAAGATGTGGGTATAGAAAAAAAAAAAGAAAAAATAGTGTTGTCTTTTGGTTTCTCATGTCCAACAATGCTATCAGAAGGGTGTTGTCTTCCCAAGTGTAGTCAGAAATGACTGTAAGAACCTTAAAGGATAGTAATTGGAACTACCAGCTGGTTCTATGTGGAGTTAATGTTTGTCAGAAGCTGAAGTGGAGATAAATATTATTTGGTGGATACAATTTCAGTTTACAAAATTAGAAGTTCCAAAGAACATTTTTGTTGCACAACAATGTGAATATACTTAAAGCACTCTTAAGCCGCACACTTAAAGATGGTACCTCATGCCTATAATCCTAGCTACTCGGGAGGTTGAAATCTGAAGACTGGGGTTCAAAAATCCAGCCTGGGCAGGATGTCCTTGGAATTTCAATTAACCACCAAAAAGCCAGAAATGGAGCTGTTGCTCAAGTGGTAAAGCACAAGTCTTAAGCAAAAACAGCTGAGACAATGACTAGGTCCTGATTTAAGCCCTAGAACCAGCACACACACACACACACACACACACACACACACACACACACGGATCTATCACTGGGGCCCTGATGGCTCATGAGTGTAATTGTAACTACTCAGGAGGCTGAGATCTGAGGATCATGATTCAAAGCTGGCCTGGGCAGGAAAATTCATGACACTTTTTTTTTTTGGGGGGGGGGGTCCGCTCGTGGGGCCTGAACTCTGGGCCTGGGCACTGTCCCTCAGCTCTTCAGCTCAAGGCTAGCGCTCTACCACTTGAGCCACAGCGGTACTTCCAGCTTTTTTCTTTTTGCTTATGTGGTGCTAAGGAATCGAACTCAGGGCCTCAAGCATGCAAGGCAAGCGCTCTACCACTGAGCCACCTTCCCAGCCCCCATCATGACACTCTTATTTCCAATTAACCACCAGAAAACCATAAGTGGCACTGTAGCTTAAGTGGTACTGTAGCTTAAGTGGTAGAGCATTAGCCTTGAGCAAAAGAGCTCAGGGACAGTGCCCAGGCCCTGAGTTCAAGCCCCATGATTGAAAAAGAAAAAAAAAAAATCTATGTCCAAAATAAGATGCAAAAAGAAAGGCTGAAGGTATGATACAACTGATAAAGAACAAGAAAAAAGCCAAGCAAATAGAAGGCCCTGAGTTAAAACCCTAGTTTTGTCAAAAAAAAAAAAAGTTGTGAAAATGGTGCCTCTGAGTATGGAACCTGGGATTTAGTGCATTATACACAAACGGTCTACTGAGCTGTATCTCCATCTCCCATATGGTACATGTTTTTGTCTTGTTTTCCCATACTCTCCCTCATCCCCACCCCAATTGAACCCAGGTCTTTAGGAATGCTAGGCACACTCTCTGGCTGAGCCACACCCTAGCCCCTTGGTTTTAAAAAACAATTGTGAAAGGTGTTTTTCTCAGCTATGATCTATGATCATTGGGCGGAAAGGAGGAGAGGTAGTGGCTGCCCTCAAGGGTTGGTGATGAAGTCCAGTGGGCTGAGCTGGTCTGGGTTCTAACCCCTTCTTCCCCTAGGCCAGCCACAGAACCTGTTTGAGAACCTGTTTGAGCCTGTTTTCTCATGGTAAAAATGGGTCTCTTCAGAGCATCAGAGGGTATCACAGTGGAGCTCAATCCATGGGGACTGAGGTAGCTTCTTCTTTTTCCTGAGTCCTGTAACTTTCAGTTCACAAGTGAATAATGGACATGAACACCCATGGCTCCTCATGTAGTTTCTGTTCTCCTTGAGGTCCAAGCAGCCAGATGTGACAGTTTGGGATAGCTCTCAAGCCTCTACCTTTCCTTTTCCCACCTTCAGCCCCAGGACAATAGCCCTCTAGCCCCAGTTCACCAACTTACTGTAAAACCAGCTGGTCAGGCTTCAAATGCTTCTGTCCCAGGGGTGTTGTCGTTTCTGGATACATATCTTTGTGTGTGTGTGTGTGTGTGTGTGTGTGTGTGTGTGTGTGTGTGTGTGTGTGTGTGTGTAGGTGCCAATATTGAGGCTTGTGCTTTTGATTAGCTTTTTTTTTTTTAACTCAAGGCTGGTGCTCTACCATTTGAGTCAATTTCCACTTCTAACTTTTTAATGGTTAGAGATAGAATCTCTGAGATTGGTCTGCCTGGCTGGCTTTGAACATCAATCCTAAATCTGAGCCTCCTGAGTAACTAAGATTAACGCATGAGCCACTGGTGCCAGGCTGGCAGTATCCTTCCCTTTTGCTTTTTTTTTTTTCAGTTGTGGGGCTTGAACTCTGGGCCTGGGTGCTGTCCCTGAACTCTTCAGCTCAAGGCTAATGTTCACCACTTGAGCCACACCACCACTTTTGGCTTTTCCTGGTTATGTGGTGCTGAGGAATGAAACCCAGGGCCTCATGCATGCAAGGCAAGCACTCTACCACTGAGCCACCTTCCCAGCCCTTTTCTTTTCTTTCCTTTTTTTTGTCATAGGGCTTAAAAACTCAGGACCTGGACACTGTTCCTGAATTTTTTTGCTCAACCTGAGCACTGTTCCTGAATTTTTTGCTCAAGGCTAGTGCTCTACCACTTGGGCTATAGGTCCACTTCCAGTTTTCCAGTGGTTAACTGGAGATAAGGTCTCAGAGAAATAGCTAGGTGCCAGCGGTGGCTCACTTCTGTAATCCTAACTACTCAGGATGTTGAGATCTCAGGATCATGGTTCAAAACCAGCCTGAGTAGGAAAGTCCATGAAACTCTTATCTTCCATTAACCACCAGAAAACTGGAAGTGGTGTTGAGGCTCAAAGTGGTAGTGAGCTAGCCTTGAGCACAAAAGCTCAGGCAGGGACAATAATCAAGCCAAGTTAAAACCCCATGACCCCTCCCCCCCCAAAAAAGGTCTTATGGACTTTCCTGCCCAGGTTGGCTTCGAACTGTCGTCCCCAGATCTCAGCCTCCTGAACAGATAGGATTACAGGTGTGAGCCACCAGTGCCTGGGTTTGTTTCTTCTTTCTTTCTTTTTCTTTCTTTCTTTCTTTCTTTCTTTCTTTCTTTCTTTCTTTCTTTCTTTCTTTCTTTCTTTCTTTCTTTCTCTCTCTCTCTCTCTTTCTTTGTCATTGTGAGACTTGAACTCTGGGCCTGGGTGCTGTCCCTCAGCTCTTCAGATTAAGGCTAGTGTCTACCACTTGAGCCACAGCATCACTTGCAGCTTTTTCTGCTTATGTGGTATTGAGGAATCGCACCCAGGGCCTCATGCATGCAAGGCAAGCACTCTACCACTGAGCTACCTTTCAACCCCTCCTTTCCTTTTCTTTTGCCAGTCCTGGGGCTTGAACTTGCCTGGGCACTGTCCTTGAGCTTCATTTGCTCAAAGCCAGCACTGTACCACTTGAGCCATAGTGCCATCTCCAGCTTATGTGATTACTGAGGAATCAAACCTAGGGCTTCATGCATACTAGGCAAGCACTCTACCACTAAGCCACGTTCCCAGCCCTTTTACTTTTTCTTTTTTTTTCTGGTGGTCATGAGGCTTGAACTCTGGGCCTGAGCGCTGTCCCTCAGCTCTTCAGCTCAAGGCGAGCGCTCTACAACTTGAGCTACAGCGCCACTTCCTTTTTTTTTTGTACCAGTTTTTGGGCTTGAACTCAGGGCCCAGGCATTGTCCCTGAGCTTTTCCCTCAAGGCTAGAGCTCTACCAAAGAGCCAGAGCTCCCCTTTTTGGTAGTTAATTGAAGAGGCTCATGACTTTTCCTAGCTAAACTGGCTTAAAATCTGGATCCTCAAATTTCAGCCTCCAATGTAGCTAGGATTACAGGTGAGAGCCACTGGCACCCAGCTAGCAGTGTCCTTTTAACAGAGTTCCCCATGTAGGGAACAAGGGGATGTGGGAAGGATGAAGACCACTTTTTTTTTTTTTTTTTGTCGGTCGTGGGGCTTGAACTCTGGGCTTGGGCGCTGTCCTTGTGCTTTTCAGCTCAAGGTGAGCGCTCTACCGCTTGATCCACAGCACCACTTCCGGTTTTCTAGTGGTTTATTGGAGATAAGAGTCTCACGAACTTTCCTGCCTGGGCTGGCTTTGAACAGCGATCCTCAGATCTCAGCCTCCTGAGTAGCTAGGATTACAGGCATGAGCCACCAGCACCCAGCTTGACCACTCCTTTTTTTAACCTACTCTCCTAGAAGGAAGCAACAGAAGGCCACAGGAGATATAATGACTTCCTTGAGTTGTATGACCACAGACATTAAGGCTCCTTAGAGCCTCAGTAGTCTTTCATAGTGAGACAACTAAGTGTCTTCCTAAGGAATCCCTTACAAAACATCATGGGGAACCAGCAGCTACTAGAGGGCAACTCTCATTTGGGAGACATGAAACTTACCCACAGCCCTAACAGGAAGTTCTCATCTCTAACACTTTGTGAGACCTTCTGTGGCCAAACTAGCCTATTCTGAGCTGGGTCCACCCTAAAGAACTGTATTTTCCCTTTTCCCATTGGGACAGCATATTTGCTACACTTGGAGATCCACTGGACAGAAGAGAGAGGGGGAAAGAAGTGTGTTCATATTTCCTTTGGTTATGCTTTAACTTCTAGAATATTCTTTTTTTCTATGAACATTTTAATGAGGGGTTGAACATAAAATAGAAAAAGAAACATTTTGATTACTTTTTTTGAGATGCAGATTTTTCTTGAGACTTTCATACAAGGCAATGGGTGAATAATGTTAACCTGCTAAAGAAAACACTGATCACAGGCAAAAAAGCACTTCTTCAAATACATATCAGAGTTACCCACAACTATGAAACAACCAAACTTTCAGAGAATTGGCATGTTTTGTTTTCTTTGGGAAACAACTCAGACTTCAGCCTTGCTGCTTTCAGAAGCTAGAGGACATTTGGGGACTGCCACCAGTTTAACACTGTGGTACCTGAAGTGAATGTTGCTTAAGGTGGTGGTGAGGGGCTTTGTGTGAGGGCACATATGCATGTTTTTCTAGAGGGGTATGAGTAACCAGAAGCTACCACCTTGAAAGGAGCTATGCTCACTTTGCATGAACAGACAAGTCATCTAGTAGATGGGCAGGGACCAGGCCCCTGTGGCCACTAGATTCACCATAATAGAATCCCTTATCATCCACGGGCCCATAGACAGTAACCATATCCCCTGCCCTCAGTGTCAGCTTGCCCTTTGACCGTGCCCCTGTTCTCTCATCCCTGGGATTATAGTCCAGGACTGCCACCATTGTCTTTGAGGTCCACAGGGTAGGTGACCTAGAGTTCCCTTGGGGCATTAGGAAGGATCCTTGGGGACTGGTGAGCCTCTCAAAGTCCTCAAAGTGCCCTTGTGTTGACAAATGCCACTTCCCATCAGTCAGCTCTGAACCTGCCTCTACCTCCATTACAAGGTGCCCTGGGATGTTGCCAACTTTTCCGTTGTACTCTCCACGGTAAAAGCCATGGGGGTCCTGGGATCCCCTTACTCTCAACAACTGTCCTTTCTGGAAGGCCAGCTCCTCCTCTGCAGCCTTAGGATTAGAAGATATCACCAAGGGGTTATAATCAAAAAGGGCCACAAAGACCCTAGCTGGAGTATTGGCCTCTGATCCTGGCAGTGAGCTACTAACTCTGGACATTTTAATGACTTGGGTGGATGGAGCTGGACATTGCACCAAGTCAGGTTCACAGAATTCTCTCTCGTCCCCCAGAGCCTGTCCTTGCCCACTCTGAGGCTTGAGTGTCTTTCTCTGGTCTGGTTTTCCTGTGTGCCAAGGATCCCAGCACTCTACCTCCTTTTCTTCTAAAACTGTATGGAAGTTGGTGGCATATTTCTGGTTAATACCCTTCTGGGGAGGCATGAACATGTGGCCATTATGCTTTTGCTTGAGTGCCTTCTCAAGGGGAGCTTTCTCCTGACGTGGCTCTTCCCTGGGCCCATGCTCCAAAGACAGATGGCTGAATCCTGAAGCAGAACTTCTGCTGTTGCTCATGTGCTGGTACTGAGACTTGCCAGTGGGTAGAAGTAGTCTGTGGTTATAAGGACTCTTCTGAAAAGGCAGGCTCTTTCCACAGTCCTTCTTGGCCTCAATAGGTCCCTGAGCTTGCTTGCCAGCCCCTTTTGATATCACACTAGACGTTGGAGATGGCTTCCTTGGGGATACTTCAGGGGAAACTTCTAGAAAATTAGCCTGAGGCTGCTCACAGCTTTTAGAGGTGTAGGGACTAGTTTTGGTATTCAGTGAAGCCTGTGTCAGCTGCTGGTGACAAACAGGGAAGTTGACTCTGCAAGTGGATGGGTCGCTACAGATGTAGCTGAAGAGAGGGGTCTCCAGTAATGAGTGATAGGTGAAGCAGTCCTCAGGGATCTGAGCTGGCACTGAATCCAGGGACTCACCATAAAGTGACATGGTTCTCACTGAGACCTTCTGGCATGTAAGAGGGACCTGGAGCTGGGAAAATTCCAATAGGGTGCTTCCAGCCGTGGCATCAGTAACCTCTGCAACCTTGCACCCATCTGCATACACAGCATAGCCAGTAACCTGCACTCCATTGGAGGACCCTGCTGAGTCAATGGTCACAGGGAGCCAGCTGACCACTAAGAAGCCTGGTGAGGCATGGTGTTCAACCAGTACATCCAGTGGAGGGTCAGGGGGTCCTGCTAAGGGTGTGTTAAAGGTGATCGTGGAGGACATTGTTTCCCAGAGCACTTGCAGCAGGTCTGTAGGCAGCCGCACTTCCACCTGCACCTGGTATCGTGTGCCTGGATGTAGGCCTTGGAAAGTATAGCAGCTCACACCTGAAGGGATTAGAGCATGCTCCTGGTCATCAAGGTATACCATATGGGGGTGCCTGCTGCTGCCATAGACCCAGGCGATCTCAGCTGATGTAGCAGTGACACTTTGCAGGTGAAGTTTCATGGGGGCCACACAGAGCCCTCCTTTGGCTTCCAGAAAGGGTATAGAGGAACCATGTTCTCCCACACTCTGTGGTGAGCCCAACCAGCAAGTTTCTGTCTTCTTCTCCAACATCTCTACTGCTATGTCTGACCCTTTATCTATGGATACCTGGGCTTCTCCAAATGATAAGCTCTCTTTCTTCGAGGCTTTGTTCTGCTTAGCTGGTAATGCAGAGGTGCTAAGGTCAGGGGCCTTGAGTAATGGGCAGTCCAAGTTGGGACTGTTTGGAATCTGTTCCACCAAATTGGAAGGCACCAACCCCCGACGACCATCCTCAAGCTCTCCTTCATAGAAGCCATCCTCATCCATGTCCCCAAAGACATACACATAATCCCCAGCTGTGAGGGGCAGTTCACCCTCAGGATGCTGGTTGGGTCCCTCAAAGGGATTGTAGCTATATCTAGCCAGGAAGATCTTGAGCTTGGGGGTGGTCCGAGCCTCAGAGACTCCTTCTTCCAGAGAAGCAGACACACTGTCTGACTCCAGATCATCGACTTCACTAGCAGTGTCTCTGTCCAGAGTAAAACAAGATGGTACTGTGGCCCACACAGACTCCATCTCTGAAGAGGAGTTCGATTGGGAACTGGTTTTCTTGGCTTGAGGTCTGGAGTCCAGAGGTTCACTAGTAGAGTCTTTGTCTGACATTTGAGGAGCAGTGGCTGGTTCTCCAAAGGCAAGTGGTTTTTCCTGCAGCGCGAGGCAAACAGAAGGCTGTTTCTGTTTGTCTCTGTTGGGTAGTGATAGTGCACGGTCTTCAGGCCCTGGCTTAAATTTGGGCTTTTCACTGCCCAGGGCTTGGGACTCAAGGACTTGGGAGGTTTCCTGTGGCTGCTGGGGAAGGTGGCCAGGCTGACTTTGCAATGCCTGCCTCTCCTTTTGGGCAGCCTGGAGGTCCTCCAGGGCCGTCTGCAGGTCGTGCTGCAACTGCTGTTGTCTATCTTGCCCGTGCTCTGTCTGTTGCAGCAGCTGCCCTGCCAATAGGTCCGAGGCATCTCGCGCCTGGCCCACACGGCCCAGCTGCCCCCTCACGTCTCTATTCTCCGCTGCCATCTTCTGCACCCAGTCGGCCTGGGCTTGCAGCCGCGCGTTCTCCTCTGCCAACCAGGCGCCCTTGCGCAGCGCCGCCTGTAGCTGCGCCTCTGTATCTTCGCCCCGCCGCCGTGCGGCCGCCGCCAGCGCGTTCAGCTCTTCGCATTCGCGCCGCCGTGCGTCCAGCTCGCGCTCCAGAGCCTGCACCTGGTTTGGCGCCACCTCACAAGGTGAGCTCTGGCCGCTTGCCTCAGCCCCGGCGCCGCCGTTGCACTGCTGCTGCAGCGTCAACTGTTTCTGCAGGCGTAACACTTCCCGCTGGGACTCGCGCTGCAGTCGGTCTAAGTCGCTGATGTTGAGCCACGGCGCGCGAGGAGCGCCCCCTTCAGGATGCGAGGCGCTGCCGTGGTCCGTGGCCACGCGCGCCTGAAGCAGGTGGCACTGCCTCTGCAGCTCTTCAATCTGTTTGTCCTTGGCCAGCAGCGCGCTGGCCTGTTCCGACAGGTCCCGGGTGCGCTGGCGAGCAAAAGCCTGGCACAACTCCAGATCGGCGCGGCTCTCACCTGGAACAGGCGCGCTCAAGGTTCGTAGGTTGGTCTCCTGAAGCTTGCGGGCACGGTCCTCCAGACGCCGTGCCAGGCCCGTTAGCTCCGCGTGCTTTACCTTGAGCCGCTTCACCCTCTCATCGGTCTGGTCCGGGAAGCCTGCGCGTCGGAGTTGCATGTTCTCCTGGCGCAGACCAGAACAACGACGCGACAGTACCTGCAACGCCTCCGTCAGCATCGAGTTCTGCTTCACCAGTTCTTTGTAGTCCAGGGGCGAAGGGGTCAGAGCTTCACAGGGCTGGTTCCCGGAGCCTTCTCCTCCTCCCGGGTCGTTCGGTTTCCTATGTGCTGGTGATGACAGGGGCGGCAGCGAGGGACTAGAAGAGCTTGGGATGGAGCTGTCTGTCGAGGAGGCCCGCACTTCAGATTCAGGGGCCTTGGGGCAACTCAGGGCGCTGTCCAGCGAGCAGGAGCGCGCGGTTGCTAAGGAACCCAGGGAGGTGGCGCGAGTGGGGAGCTGATCGTCTGGGGAGCTGGAGCACACCGCAGGCCCTAGGTCGAGAGAGCGGGAGCGAACGCGGACGCCATCGCTCAAGCTGTCGAGGGATCCGATTCGACACGGGGGCTTGGAGGTACAGCGAGCACTGCTCCCGGCTCCTGTGAGTCGATCTTCCGAGGGTGGCACGGCTTCGGAGTCCAGGGACCCCGGCAAGGCCGGCTGCCAGCGAAAGTGCTCTAGAATGTACTTGAGGAAGAGCTGGCGCTCCAGGTTGAGCGCCGCCTGCAGGTGGCGGATGCGTGCGGCTTGCTCGCTGTCGTTCTCCCAGCGCAGTTGCGCCAGCACTTCTTGCAGGCGACAGCGGCACTGCGTGGCGGCGATCTCCCGCGCCCCCGCGCGGCCGCAGTAGCCGCGGCTCACCAGCTCCTGGGCCAGCTGGCGTTGCAGCTCTCGGGCCTGGCGCACCACCCCGTCGCGCTCGCGGTGCAGCAGCTGTTGCAGCTGCCGCAGCTCGGCTTCCTTCCAGCGAAGCAGCTGCCGGATCTCGGCCTCGCGCTCGCGCTGCACCTCCTCCTGCAGTTGCCGCATGTCCCGGAAGCGCTGTGCCTCCCACTTGGAGCGCAGATGGTCGGCCAGCTGCTGCCGCTCCTGCTCGGCGGACTCCCGCAGCTGGCGCGCCTGGGCTGCGAAGTGCCGCCGTTCCGCCCGCCCGCGTGCGCGTTCCGCCTCCAGTTCTCCCCGCAGCTTTTCCAGCTCCCGCCTCTGCTCCTCCACCACTGCTGCCGCTGGGCCGGGGCTACCCGATTTCTTGGGCGACGCACGGCCGCCACCCAAAGGGGTGGGCGAATCTTTGGTCATGGTGGCCGCACCCCAGCCAGACCCCTTGACCTCACCTGGCAGGCCACAGTTAGCCAACGGCCGCCGCCCCGGCCCCCCGGCCAACTGCCCCTCGTGCCCCTTCCGGTGATCCCTAGAGTCCCCGCGTGCCTTTTCCGCCTCGGGGGAGGCGGAGGGCCCCCACCCCTTTCCACAGGTCTCTCCCACGGCTGAGCACTTCTCCCAGATGCTTAGACCGGGGCTGAGCTCCCTAACACATCTGTTCAAACTAGTCCCTAATCATCCTTGGATTTCCCTGGCTTCGCAGGTTTCCTGTCATGGCTCTTGTGTCCAGCCAGACACTTTTTTTTTTTCCAGTCCTTGAAACTCAGCTTGAACTCAGGACCTGAGCACTGACCTTGAGCTGCTGCTGCTGCTTTTTTTTTTTTTTTTGTCAGTCATGGGGCTTGAACTCCGGGCCTGGGCACTGTCCCTCAGCTCTTCAGCCCAAGGATAGCACTCTACCACTGGAGCCTCAATGCCACTTCCGGTTTTTTGAGTGGTGTATTGGAGAGAAGAGTCTTACAGCATTTCCTGCCCAGGCTGGCTTTGAACCTCAGTCCTCAGATCTCAGCCTCCTGAGTAGCTAGGATTACAGGCATGAGCCACCTCCTCCTCCTTCTCCTCCCTCAATCTCCTTCTCCTTCTTCTTCCCAGTCCTGGGGCTTGAATTCAGGGCCTAGCACTGTCCCTGAGCTGCTTTTGCTTGAGGCTAGCACTCTACCACTTGAGCCACAGTGCCACTTCCTGCTTTCTTTGTTTATGTGATACTGAGGAATCTAACCCAGGGCTTCATGCATGCTAGGCAAGCACTCTACCACTAAGCCACATTCCCAGCCCCAGTTATTTTTGCTTTTAAAATTTATCAGATTCTCCATACTTTTTGCCCAGGCTGGCCTTAAATGGAAAATCTGATCTGATCACAGCCTGAGTAGCTAGGATTACAGGGGTGAGATACTACTCCTGAATCTCTGACCTGTGATTTTTTGGTTCATCTTTATCATCATCCAGTGAAGATGCTGAGAGGTAAAGAAGCCTCACATGGTTACCAAATGTGAGTGTGGATTAAAATTTGCAAAAATCTGCCTCCAGATCTATGAGTGGTCTGTTTTTCAACTGCCCAACTTAGGGTTAGTTGTGAGGACCCTTCCTCAGTCTCAGAGACTATCACACTTCCAAGCTGCAGAGAGAGGAGGGACAGGAAGGGAGGAGAAGGCAAGTAGAACCTAGAAATCTAGAGATGTTTGGGCCATCAGTCAGAGAGCCCTCCTCAGAAGCTGGGCACCAGTGGTTCACACCTGTAATCCTAGCAACCCAGGAAGCTGAGATCTGAGGATCATGGTTCAAAGCCAGCCCAGGCAGGAAAAGCCTGTGAGACTCTCTTTTTTGTTGTTGTTGGTTGGTCTTGGGGCTTGAACTCTGGGCTTGGGTGCTGTCCCTGCGCTCTTCAGCTCAAGGCCAGCGCTCTACTGCTTAAGCCACAGTGCCACTTCCGGTTTTCTAGTGGTTTATTGGAGATAAGAGTCTCCGGGACTTTCCTGCTCAGGCTGGCTTTGAACTGCAATTCTCAGATCCCAGTCTCCTGATAGCTAGGATTATAGGTGTGAGCCACTGGCTCCCACTGTGAGACTCTTATTTCCAATAAATCACCAGAAAACCAGAAGTGGTGCTGTGGCTGAAGTGGTAGAGCGTTCATCTTGAGGCCAAACCAGAAGTGGTGCTGTGGCTGAAGTGGTAGAGCATTCATCTTGAGGCCAAGCCAAGTCCTTTGTCATCTCCCAAAGAACCTTCCATAGTCCTCCAAAAGTCTTCCATTATCAGTGGTTGGAGCCAGTGGGCCACTGAAGTCCAAGAGGATTTCAACTTTTTTTTTTTTTTTTGCTGGTAGTGGGGCTTGAACTCTGGGCTTGGGCACTGTACCTGAGCTCTTCAGCTCAAAGTGGGCGCTCTACCACTTGAACCACAGTGCTACTTCCGGTTTTCTAGTGGTTTATAGAACTTTGCTGCCTGGGTTGGCTTTGAACTATGATCCTCAGATCTCAGCCTCCAGAGTAGCTAGGTTTACAGGCCTGAGCCACCAGCACCCAGCTAGAATCTCAACTTTCTGTGTGCCACTTCTATGTCTGTTTGTTTGTTTGTTTTTGGGTCCAGTCGTGGGGCCTGAACTCTGGGCCTGGGTGCTGTCCCTCAGCAGTTCAGCTCAAGGCTAGCCCTCTACCACTTGAGCCACAGTGCCACCTCTGGCTTTTTTTTTCTTTTTGCTTATGTGGTGCTGAGGAATCGAACCCAGGGCTTCAGGCATGCAAGGCAAGCACTCTACCACTGAGCCACCTTCCCAGCCCTGTTTTTTTTTTTTTTGTAAAATGAGTTAATTTAGCCTCAGCCAGGCTAAAACTTCAACCTCAGGTTAATGAGGTCCCAACCAGCATCACACACACACACACACACACACACACACACACACACACACACACACAATTTATCTGGCTACTTATGTGGTTTTGGGAGCTCAGACATCTGACTCTAACCTGACTCTTCCTCCCTACTTCTGGTGCCAAGCGGCTTGTGGAAAACAAGAATGAGTGGGGTTCCTAGGTATCAGTATCCAATGTTGGGTCATATTAGAAGCCCTTTTGCCTCTATTCTAAGGTGTCTGACTGGCCTGAGAAGTACCTAGGTATTTTCCCAACTGCTATGTTTGCTCAGTACCTGGCCTTTCCATGATATCCAAGTTTATTTGTTTTGCTTTGTTTTGTTTTTTGGTCTGTCATTAGGCTTGAACTCAAGGCCTGTCCACTGTCCACTGTCCCTGAGCTCTTTTTGCTCAAGGCTAGTGCTCTCCTACTTTGAGCCATAGCTCCACTTCTGGTTTTCTTGTGGTTAATTGGAGCTAAGAACTTCACTGGCTTTCCTTCCAGGTATGGCTTTGAACCATGATCTTCAGATCTCAGCTTCCTGAGTAGCTAGGATTACAGGTGTAAGCCCCCAACACCTGGATGATATCCAAGTTTCTTAAACCATTTTCCTCTAAAACCATAGGAAATAATTTTGGGCAATGGCAAGATATAAGACCACCAGGAAGAGTTGGGGGGGCGGGGCTCACACGTATAATCTTAGCTATTCAGGAGGCTGAGATTCAAAGTCAGCCCAGGCAGGAAAGTCTGTGATATGTACTTTTTTTTTTTTTTGGCCAGTCCTGAGGCTTGAACTCAGGGTCTGGGCACTGTCCCTGAGCTTCATTTGCTCAAAGCTAGCACTCTACCAATTGAGCCCCAGTGCCACTTCTGGCTTTTTCTGTTTATGTGGTACTGAGGAGTTGAACCTAGGGCTTCATGCATGCTAGACAAGCACTTTACCACCAAGCCACCTTCCCAGCCCCCAATATGTACTTTTATTTTGGGTCTAGTCATGGGCCTCAGCTCTTCAGCTCAAGGCTAGCGCTCTACCACTTGAGCCACAATGCCACTTCCGACTTTGTTCTTTTTGCTTATTGGTGCTGAGGAATCGAACCCAGGGCCTCAAGCATGCAAGCCAAGTGCTTTACCACTGAGCCACCTTCCCAGCCCCCCAATATGTACTTTTTTTTTTTTTTTAAGGTCAGGTCGTGGGGCCTGAACTCTGGGCCTGGGCACTGTTCCTTAGCTCTTCAGCTCAAGGCTAACGCTCTACCACTTGAGCCACAGCACCACTTCTGGCTTTTTTCTTTTTGCTTATGTGGTGCTGAGGAATCGAACCCAGGGCCTCATGCATGCAAGGCAAGCACTCTACCACTGAGCCACCTTCCCAGCCCCCCGATATGTACTTTTATCTCCAATTATCTACCAAAAAGCTGGAAGTGGAGCTATGGCTTAAATGATGGAATACTAGCCTTGAGTGTACAAGCTAAGGAACAGTGTCAAAGCCCTGAGTTCAAGCCCTGGTACTTCAAACACATACACACACACACACACACACACATACACTCCAGATGCTGGTGGCTCACACTTTAATCCTAGCTACTCAGAAGGCTTACATCTGTGGATTGTGGTTTGAAGACTAGGCAGGAAAGTTCATGAGACTATGAGACTCTTTTTCCTTTTTTTATTTGTCGGTCGTGGGGCTTGAACTCTGGGCCTGGGCGCTGTCCCTCAGCTCTTCAGCTCAAGGCGAGCACTCTACCACTTGAGCTACAGCGCCACTTCCGGTTTCCTGGTGGTGTATTGGAGATAGGAGTCTCACAGTCTCTCCTGCCCGGGCTGGCTTTGAACCGCGATCCTCAGATCTCAGCCTCCTGAGTAGCTAGGATTACAGGCCTGAGCCACCAGCGCCCGGCTTCTTTTTCCTTTTTTCTTTCTTTTTTTTTTTTTTCCAGTCCTGGGACTTGAACTCAGGGCCTGAATGCTATCCCTGAGCCTCTCTGTGCTCAAGGCTAGCATTCCACCCATTGAGCCACAGTGCCACTTCTGGCTTTTTCTGAGTATTTATTGGAGGTTAGAGTCTTATGGACTTTCTCACTCTTGGCTGGCATCAAACTGCCATCCTCAGATCTCAGTTTCTTAAGTAGCTAGAATTACAAGCGTGAGCCATTGGCACCTGGCATCATGAGATTCTTCAATAAATAACCAAAACCAAAAAGCCAGAAGCAGAATTTGGCTCATTAGGTGGAGCACTAGTCTTGAGCAAGAAAGCTCAAGGACAGCACCCAGGCCCTGAATTTAAGCCCTAGGACTGGTGTGTGTGTGTGTGTGTGTGTGTGTGTGTGTGTGTGTGTGTGTGTGTGTGTGTGTGTGTGTGTGTGTGTGTGAGTGTATGTATGCCAGGAATTATAGCTCAAGATGTTCATCTTGAGCTGGGTGCTGGTGGCTCAGGCCTGTAATCCTAGCTACTCACGAGGCTGAGATCTGAGGATTGGAGTTCAAAGCCACCCCGGGCAGAGAAAGTCTGTGAGACTCTTATCTCCAGTAAACCACCAGAAAACCAGAAGTGGTACTGTGGCTCAAGTG